CTCTTCTCAGTCCACCATCTCTCCCTCACCCTCTCGCTACCTGACTTCACTGCATCAGCAGACTGGGAGAGAGCGGGATTGGTGACATTTGGATCCAGACTCGACATTGGACTTCAGACATTTGACGAGGGATTATCTGGGACTTGTACCGAAGACTTGGTGTTGACGACATTCCCATCTTCCCCCTCTTCTTCGTCTGATCCCCTCCACCTTGTGATGAGGATGATGTATGTTTGGTCTGCATTGCGACATTGATTGGGCTAGTCATTGGTATTCTAGCATTCCGCTGTGCTGTCTTGTACTACGTGAGAGGGGTCAGTCTCGGTCAGGTCAGGGCTTATATCTAAGTCTTCCACTGCACTACAAAGTGCCATTTTGTAGGTATCCGGATGTACACTGCTTGTTGAGATTCCACTAACACTGCATTGTCCATTCAGTCCTTTTCATCACCTTGCGGATCCTTGGTTGTACATACATTGCCCAACTGGGCATGTAAGAGTCCAGCACAGATACGGTTGTTGCTGTTCAGCAGTGAATCACGGGCGTCACTGCCCTTTCCAAACACCCGGGCTGGTAACAGAACCCCAGACGGCACTCCCAAATGCAGCAGCAGCTTCCCAGCTAAGTCGCTGCTCCAGCAGCCTGGCAGCGTCAACAGAATCACTAACCCAAAGGACCTCTAACCTATCGGTCCTAACCTAGATATGGTTCTACTGGACTGGACTGGACTTACCTAGGACACAAGACACTAGCAGTTATTGGTCTGTGTTTTACCAGTGACAGAGGTACCAGTGTGAGGCAACAATCGTGTAGCAGTCAGTTTAGGACTAAAAGAAGTTTAGGGGGGTTAGGCCTAAAAGAAGTTTAGGGAATTTTAGGCTGAGTAGGTAGTAAGTACCCGTTTTGCCAGCTGTGCAGAGAATTTGCAGACAAGTTACTGTCGGTTTAGGCCCAGGTCCAGTTTCTTGTTAGGACCCAGAACTTGTAGAAATTACAAAAATGTCCCGGTTAATGTTACAGCCCGCTGAGAAACTGGAGGAACATTGCATAATAACGGACACACACATGCACCCAGAACTGAAGGTTGGATAGCACTCGCAGTATGAACCCAACTGGTTCACCACTCCGACTGGGTGTGCCAGCTTACATCCTGCCTAGCTCTACGACAGGATGGAGCCGATAGGGCAAGCTTCCCCTACCCAAGGGGCTGTCACCACCCTTGGGGGCATATCACCACCAAACCACCGATTGCCCTTGTTGCTGGCTGCGTGGGTGGTGGAAGTCGACATCAGGTGAATGTGATAGCTTAATTTCAAAACGGGGAGTGTGCACATGTGTGTGGCATCATGAGGTAGAGAAAAGGACTAGGAGCGAGGGGAGTAAGATGCCGTGGTCGACTGCTCGCCTCTAAGGCGTGGGAGATCAGCGGCTCGTGGGCTTGGTTCGAGAAGTCATTGTCCGCTGTGTGTACTACACTGACGAACCAGCAAACGCCCTCACATAATGTACCTCTACCGCACCAGG